ACTGGAGTTCAGACGTGTGCTCTTCCGATCTAAATATATTAAAATATTAATATTTTTTACATAAAAAAAATTTTATAAGAAAAAGAAATATTTGAAAAATCGATAGTAACTTTAAACAGACAAATTGAAAGCTACTGTATTTAGTAATTAATTCAGTAATGAAAAAATTTTCTTAAAGGCACACTAACTAAAAGGACACTTACCCTATGTATTCAAAACTATCAACCTTTTTCGGAATCCACAAGTAGTACAATAATCTTTAATTATTCATTGATCGACTAATCCTCACTTTTCTTTTAAACATTTGTTTTTCACGCTGTATAACGACTCTGTGACTGTCATGACTACCGTGACAAACGCCACATCTACTAATGTGACGACAAACATGCGCTCAATTTGCCACTGATGGTGATACGAGCGTCTTATTCCATATTTTCACAAGTATTTGTTAGTCAAATATTTTTGATTAATACATCAAATTGTGGTTCAGTAATCATCAAACGTGATGAATATTTTTTTCAAAAATGAATTACTTAAAACTTCTGATTAATTAAATAAAAGTCCACAAGTGGTCACAAATAGGGACATTTGCCTTTCTTACACCTTTTTGAGCTAAAATCGGTTTTTTTTTAACATCCTCCTTTATAAATCGAAGAGTAGATAACTAATTATGAACAAGCGACTGAAGTGAACAGTAACCCAAATCAACAAATTCAATGACTCACAGCTTTATAATTCAATTCAATATAATTTCTGTAAAGAGTATATAGAATAAGAATGAAAAAAGAGATATAGGTGAAAAATGACGTAACTGAGAAGAAAATAAGAAAAATTTGTAAAAAATGTTAAAAAATTATCAAAATTAACAAATATTAAAAAGTAAAAAATAAAAACTAAATAGAAATAGACTCTTGCCACATCCTTGTCGGTTATTTATGGAATCGGCAAAGAGCAAGAAAAAGTAAGCAAATAGCTATAATACACTAAATTAAAATGCAAAAAATTAAATACTCATGTTTATTACTATAAGGGATAGTTTGCACTCTTAAACTTGTACCTTTGCAGATATAAAAAAATGTGTCTATTATTTTTGGCTATTTTAGAAATGTACCAAGTTTCATTAAATTCTGCGAATCACAGAAAGGTATGTTTACTCGTAAAAAATATTGAATATCAATTTAACACAAAATATAAATAACATAATCACATTATGCTAATTTAACAAGCAAATATGTTAAAAATTCGACACAAAATTTTAACAAAAACGTGAGTGGACCGTTTTTAACATAAATACAAAAACGTTTTTTTACTGTGTAGTTCCATCCCAGCAAACACAGATTATAATTGCAATGTTGCAGCAACATGATTACATAGTTTATTGTACTGAATCCCATTCGGGATTACAATCTTTTCCATTTTTGTTACATGTATATGCATTCATACATAAAAAAAACAGAACATAATCTTTGCACGCATTTGTATATTTATATATGTATACATTTTATTGTATAGCCACCTTAACATTTCTACAATTTCTACAATTTATCGCATTTTCCACACTTTCTCGATTGTCCTATTCAATTACTATCTTTATTCTACTTTTACCTCTGTACCACACACACACACACACACGCACACGCGCACGCACACGC